GATCCAAGGATAAGCCTTGATGATCTGGTTTTAAAATTAAGTGAATTTAAGTTTTATTAAAATTTTAAATGTGTGTAAAGGAAAGATTTAGTGTTTTATGATGTTAGTGAGTTGATGATTGCTGTTATGTTTTAGATGATGAAGCTGGAACAACAGGATGATTTATGATTACTAACCATTTATTGTCATGCTACTAATTTTTATTTTTATTTTCCAATAAATATTTTTCAAACATGTTTTGTATAATACTGCAGAGTTTTAGGAAAACGATCTTAGATCTTTTTATCAATCGTTATTGTATAATATTAATTTTGTTTAGCGCCTTAAATGATTTTGAAGAGTAACTTCAAGGTTTTATGTTTGCAAATGGAAATCTAAATTCATTGCAAGTAGTATTCGAAATATAAAAGTTTGTTCTGGCTTTTGCCGAACTATCATATAACTATACGGCAAGTTTCTACTTTGTCGTATGTCGTCTTTGGTTCGAGGTCTTCTTCCAATTCCGGGTAGTTCTATTATGGTTCGGAAAATTGGCTCTGATCTATTGAGTCGGAGAGACATTTCAATTAAATTATTGTCGTATAACATTTTGTAAATGTTTTTGTCTAATTTCTAATCTATTTTTGGTTAATTCTAATCTAGTAAGGTCTTGTTCGAGACTTATGGTCGCACCAGATGAGTTATGACTGGAGTGTATAACTCATAGAGTAATTTTGGATAGGGTACACCGTCTGCTCGTCACGCTATCTTATTTTCGGCCGGATAGATTCGTGCAACTTCTTAGTCTAATACCGATCCTAATCTTACTCTTATACTATCTAGTCTCAGGTTGTTTAACTAGTCTCTGCTAGGCTCAATAGATCTAGGGTATACTGGTTTATTGCGGCTGCTGAAGTGCTCGGGAGAGTCCAACTAATTTCTAAGTTAAATTCAAATCTCTCTGGTGCTGAAATTACAAGTAACTTCAGCACTTACAAATAAGTGGGTTGTTAGTTAGATGGATCATGATTGGTTAATATTAAATACTTTACATTGGTAAAACATTTAATTTATCCAATCATAAAATATAGTTTAGATCAGGTTCCATAAGTGTGCACGGTTGACAGCAAGCATTTTTCAGTCCATGTATTTGAAAGCGGACATCAGTCAAATGTCCCGTAGTTTTCTGAACGGTTTCCGTGATTGGTGAAAAATGGCTCATCTAATTAAGTAATCAATCCAAAATTGTGAGCTCACAATTTCATTTGCAAAAAAAACTTTTTTTTTCATAAAAACATCTATTTAACTTATAATTGATTTGAAATAGGAAAAGTTATTTAGAGCCAATTCACAGTAGCCAATGACTATGGAAAGCATGAAAGTTAAACATACAAAACTGACACGATTTTGAAAAGTCGAGCAAAGTCAACCAGGGTCGAACAAAGTTAACCAAGGTTGAATAATAATAGTCAAGCTCAAGCAAATTCGAAGAAAGCATACCAAATAAAGGCAAGCTCGACCAAAGTTGAACAGGAGTGAGGAAAGTCTACAAAGCCGACCAGAAATGGCAGCGGACAATGTTGAACCTTCACAGTAGAGAGCGAAAAGCGGTCAATCAATACTGTCGACACAAATTTCGAACATACCTCTACCCTGGGTTGTTTGCTTGTCTTGAATAAAAAAATATTCAAAAATTTTTAAAATGATGTAGCAGCAAGCATTAATCGTGGTTTGATGGAGCATTGTTGTGAGCCTAGCTCTACAGTGCTGATTTAAATAATCCGGACAAGTTTTTCTCAAATTGGGTTTAGATTAGACAAAAAACGAGAACAAAAGTTGTTTAGAATTTCATCAGAATTATTATTTTTTCTCCGAAATTCTCAACCAAAATTTTACTCCAAAACTGGGTCATTTTAACTTTTTCCAATTAATCAAGAGTTACGCTGAAACTACTTTGGGATTTGATGAGAAATATATATCACAAGAAGCCTCTTACACAGCCCAACAAAGTTCTAGCAGGGTTAAATCTCCAAAAACCTGTATGAGCAAATAATTTTGCTTGATATTCAAGAAAGATCATTTTTATTATATAAAACCCAAAACATTTGCTTAAAAACAAATTTTAAACAATCTACTCAAACTTTTGGAGATTTAATCATTCTTGAACTTTGTTGGGCTGTATAAAAGGCTTCTTATGATATATTTTCCTCATCAAATAACAAACTATCAGCGTAACTCTTGATTAATTGAAAAAAGTCAAAATGACCCATTTTTGGTGAAAAATTTGCACCATAATAATTCTGATTAAATTCTAAACAACTTTTGTTCTCTTGACTTTTTGTCTAATCTTAACCCAATTTGAGAAAAACGTGTTTGAAAATTCAAGTTTTGTTCGTTTTGTCCGGATAATTTAAATCAGCACTGTACTTAGCTATTCCACATGGAAAATTTTGAGGCTTCTAAGTTGGTGCATGGTTTGGTTTTTTGACATGAAAACCAAAAGCTGTACAGCCGCCTACGTTCAATTTTTAGATATGAAATTGCCAATATGCACAAAACAAAATGAAATTTGATTTTGACTTAATTTGTTTTGATTGAAGATCTTACGTGATTTGAATTGCTTATGAATGAAAGCGTTCTTTGAAAGTGTGTTACAGATCACGCAACATGGGCTAATTTAATTCACTTTCTTCATCAATTTGAGTCCTTTCATCAGGGCTATTTTGACCCTCATTAACATTTCAGCAGCGTTCATTCTCTTCTTGTAAAATTGAACTGAGCTGTACATATTACAATTTTGTTGCCGCATCAATTCTTATTTTGAAAAGGGTTTACCGTTTTACTTGTTTACCGTTTCCCCCATGTTAATATATTACATTAAGACAAGATGATTTCGGAGGAAAACCAGTGCTTTCATTTGTTAAATTAAATACAACAAGACTGCTCTTGTCAGGGCGAGGCCCTGAATGTTCCGACTGCCTCTTAAGGTCTAAGGAGCACTAATAACATGAAAAGTTAAATGTATTAACTAAAAATGAAAATTTTTGGTTTAAATTTGAGATTTTTTGTGAAATTCATCCCCCCATATAAAGTACAAAGTGATAGATTTCGCTCCTAGTAACAAATCAATTATGGCATATAAGCTTTCTTGTTTGGAACGATTTCTAAGACGGATTAAATCTCCGCTTAAGCGATAATAGCGCGAAATATATCGCGCGTTAATTGTCCCAAATTGGCCAAAATGGCAATCTTTAAACCCCCATAACTTTACGAAAAATGATCACAGGTAAAATATCTTTTCAAATTAAAGTTCAGGACAACAATAGCTTTCGAATGATATAAAAAAATTCCGTCAAAAATGACCAGTTAAAAAATCAAATTTTGTCTGAAGAAAAAAAAACCACCCCGAGCACAAATATTCCGATACTTTAGCTACGAATGTTGGAACAACAAGACAATTGTTTTTTCAAATTTTGGTTGCTTTGATGCCGTTAAAATTTGTTTAAACGTGGTTTTGATTTGGAGCAACGCAAACTTCCTTACCTAACTGAAAAAAAAGCGGTTTTAATGAGCCTTCGATATAAGAACTGTATATTTTAAACTCTAGTTCTTACATTTTTTTAAATGCATGTTGCTTAAAGGTAAACAAACTTGGATTTCAGGTAAATTTCACATTTTTACCTTCTGGAAAAGGAAACCAGTTTTTTTACAGGTTAAGTCCGGCGGGTACTAATATACACACTTTGCGTGGATTTTGAGAAAAAAAAGCTAGTTGGAGGCTAAATCGAGTAAATTTTTGACCATTCGTTTTGACCAGCCACATATTAATATCTTGCATTTCCTGATGATACCGATCCAGTTTGGTAAAAAAAAATCATTTTCATGTTTCTTTATTTAGGGGGAGGGGAGGAGGGGGTAGAACTGAAAAACCCCCACCTGCGTTATATGTTTATTAGACTAGTTATGAATCATATATGTTTTTGTTCCGACTTTTGTAACGAAATTAACGGAATATTTGTGCTCGGGGTGTGTTTTTTCTTCAGACAAATTTCAACTTTTTATATCATTCAAAAGTAAAATATCATTCAAAAGGTATTGTTGTCCTGAGGATAAAATTGAAAAAAAAATTCACATGTCAGCATTTTTAGTAGAGCTATGGGGTTTTAAACATTGCCATTTTAGCCAATTTGGGACAATTAACGCGCGATACATTTTGCGCTATTAACGTGTAAGCGGAGGTTTAATTTGTCTTAGAAGTCGTTCCAAATAGGTTGAAGAAAGCTATTAGCCATAAATGTTTTGTTACCAGGAGAGCGAAACTATCACTTTAGACGTTATGTGGCGTGTGGGGTGATGATTGTTACAAAAAATCGGAAACTAAAATAAAAATTCATTTTTTTATTACTACTAACTTTTACATTTTATTACTGCCCCATAGACCTCAAAAGTCAGTCGGAACATTCAAGGCTTTGCCCTGAAACGAGCAGTTTTGTCCATTTTTGTTTCGACTTTCGATACGAAGGTAACGGAATATTTGTGCTCGGGGTGGGTTTTTTTTTCAGACAATTTTCGACTTTTAAACTAACCAATTTTGACGGAATTTCTTATATCAATCAAAAGGTATTGTTGTCCTCAGCTTAAATTTGAAAAGATTTTTCACCTGTGATCATTCTTAGTAAAGTTACAGGGGTTTACAGATTGCCAATTTGGCCAATTTGAGACAATTAACGCGCGATATTATTCGCGCAATTAACGCGTAAGCGGAGATTTAATCCATCGTAGAAATCGTTCCAAATTGGTTGAAAAGAAGCTTATTTGTCATAATTGATTTGATACAAGGAGCAAATTCTATTCTTTCGTTCTTTATATGGCGTGTGGGGTTGATTTTCATGAAAAATTTCAAATTAAAAAATTTTTTTTTTTACTTTTGATTTTTTTAATTATTACTGCTCCATAAACCTTAAAAAGCAGTCGGAACATTCAGAGTTTTGCCCTGATACGAGCAGTCTTATTGTTTTCAGTGTTGTTTTCTGTTGCAAATAGATGTATTGAATCCAGAAATCTTTACTAGATCATTGACGAGGAAATTCTGAGAAAATCAATTGGGGTACATTTAATGTGTAATGGACGGTGCCGTGCGTCTGGAACCTTTTCTCCCATTGACAGCCATAAACTCTGTCAACTGACATTTATTTTGCCACTCCCCCCTCATCTATGGCCTTCCTAAGCAATCAAAACAGAGCATAGTAGCATACAGTTGATGTCATGGATAATTTATTCCTGCTGGCCAATATCCAAACTGATCAGCTGGTAATTTTATAGATTGAATTATTCGCAACAATTGTTTTGCTTTTAAACCTAATTCGCCATTTCCATTTTTCTTGGTATAATCTCTTTTATCTTTCGCTTCAATGCTCCGTTTCTTTCCAGTTATCAGAGAAACTACAGTTTTGAGGTAAAGTTTTCATCTATTTTTTTCTTAGCATTTCAATAAAATAAATACATGGATGTATTTTTTTTACTATATTTGGAACTTTATTTCGGTCGCGCATACAATTTTTATGAATGGAGTTTTAAGAAACACACAAAAGGGGGCTGAGCAAATGTACACAAAAACAAAAGGCTTTCTATTCCAAATTTTTTTATGACTTGGTACAACCTGCAATGTGTTTGGAATTAGTTTTATTTAACATCTTTTGCAATTGAAAAGCGTTGGCTCCAATTACCCATTATCAACTGTGTTTTGGCGTTTGTCTCTACTCAAAATCAGGTAAAAAACATTCATAGATATTAAAGCCGTGACTAGTATTATTGGAGTGAAAATATTGCAAAACTTTTGCAAAACAATGCAACGTTTGAAAATTTCCAGCAACAGTCTTGCAAAGATTCTTGCAAAATTTGCATTCTCCTGAGTGCAGTTTGGAGTCCAATTCTAGTAAGATTTTTTGAGATTCTTACAAGCTTTTCATTCCATTACCCCGTAAGAAATTTTGCTTGCACTGCATAATTATATGCTTTTCGGGCGAGCATCTGAATTCACACTTGGATTCTTATTCTCCATTATTAATGTATAATCAAATTCATGTTGCTAAAAAAATTTTTTAATATTATATTTAACATTATTCCACACTTCATCCGTTACGAGCTCTCATTGAGGTAGTTAAAACTGAGAGGAAAGCCCCAAACTATGCTATAGTTTTATTGGAGTCACTATCAGTGACCTCAACTAAACATTAAGTCAATCTGTGGACAATGTTAAAAATGCGTCCTGAAAAAACCGGAAGAAAATAAACGGCCATTGATTTTTTCTCATTATTATTTTTCTCGTTGAAAAAAATTTTCTTCTTACAGATTATTATTTCGACCACTGAAAGTGGTGAGCATTTTTGTGTTTGGGTGTTATTTAATTTATTGTTCCTACCATTCAGAAAATGTGGAGAAACTTTGTACTCTAGTGTCCTTTTATTTTTTAAACCTTTTCTTTTTTTGGTCTTCCCCGCAAAGTCAGGTACCACAAACAGTCATCAGAATGGGTTGAGTGATATATCAGAACGACATTAAAAAATTAAAGTTTCCTTTTTTGTCGAGTTTCGAATGAGAAAAGCGAGCAAGAATACTTATTTGGTTTTTCAAAGAGAAATTACCACAAATAAACATCGAAAAGGTAAGATTGATAGTATTAAGAGTTCCTTTCAATCCTAATTTGAACATTAATTTTTTTTTTTGAAATTCTGAGTACATGTAAAATCAGTTTGAAAATTTTTGATGTTTGCTCTAAATTAAAACTAAAAATGTGAGGCTAAGCTAGCTTATAAAGGTTTGTTTATGCTTAATTCAAGCCATAAAAACTTAGTTTTACTCAAATAAGAATTAATTTTGAAGATTTAATTAAGTTTTTTTATCTTCAATTTGGGAATCAAAACTTCAAAATTCAAAAACTTCCTGCAAAAAAATTGAAAAGGTTTTGAGAGCTTTTTTTGAGTTTTTTAACAATTTTTATAACGTTTTCTAGCCATTTTTGTTCAGATTTCTTTATCACGCCACGCAGAGAAAAAAAATTTGACAAAGAAATTTGAAATAACTTTTTTGTATTTTGTTTAAGAACATGGTCGAAAAAATTTCTGTCAGTTGCAAAGAAACCGGCTGTCTTTGTTTGTTTTTCTTTTTCTTTTGCATGCAGAATCAGACACTCCAAAAAATTATCGAAGTGAGTTGATTTAAATGTCATAGTGAAATCTACGCAGTTTGTTTTCGATTCTCACTTAAATTTTTCTAAAAAATTTTTAAGAATTCAGTTGAAAATAATAACCATTTGGTCTAATTTAAGCAAATGCAGCGAGCGAGCAGCTATGTATTACAAAATTAAGAAGTAACAGGTTTCAACTGACTATTCCTTCACCGCTCCCCCTCTCATCAATTGACATACTAAGAAATCGCTTCAGGGAAAAGTATTATGCGTTTGATGTCATGGATAATATGTTTCTTGCCATTAGTCGAATTAATCAGCTAGTTATTGTATCTGTTGACTTGATCGCAACAATTGTTTTTCCTTTGAACATAATTCGTCATTGTTGATTATATAACATATATTTTTTTTCGCTTTAATGCTCCGTTTCTTTCAAGTTTCGTGAAAAACTTTTAATCTGATGTAAGTTTTACTTTATTTCTTTCCTTAGCGTTTCAAAAATTAAAATCTTGTATGACTTTTTATTATAACTGAAATAATTATATCTCTTGCGCATAAAGTTTTAATGAATGGGGTTGTAAGAAACACTCAATAGGGGGCTGAAAAAAGTACACAAATATAAAAGTCTTATTTTTTCAAGTTTTTGTATGACTTTGTACCCGTTTCAATGTGCTCGGAACCAGTTTTTACGTAACATCTTTTGCAATTGAATTGCGTTGTTCGCAATTACGCATTACCAACTGTGTGATACCAAAACCATTTTCCCCTTTTCCAAATCACCTAAGAAAAGCTTTTATGTAATTTAAAGCCTTAAATGTGTTATTGGAGTGCAAATCATGCAATTTTTTTGTGAAACAATGCAAATGTTGGATATAACATGCAATTTGCTTGCGAAGAGTTTTGTGTAATGACATTACTCTGAGTCAGTTTGTAATTCAAATCTATTATATTTTTTTGGAGATTCTCACATGATTTGCATTTCATTACCCTGTAAAAACTTTGGTAATATTTCATAATGATATGCTTTTCGAGCAACTAACTGAATTTTTTCTTTGTTCTTTTTCTCCAATACTCATGTCTTCTTAAGTTTTACTTTATACTTTACTTCATCAATTGCGAGCTCTCATTGAAACAGTTAAGATTGAGCAAAACACCACAAACAATGCTATAGTTTTTTTGCAATCGCTACCAGTGGCGTTATTTGAGCATCAAGTCAGTCTGTAGACAATGTTAATAAGCGTCCTGAAAAAATGAAAGAAAATAACTGGACTGTGATTTTTTTCTCCTCCAAATTTTTTTCTTATTGTTTTATTATCTCAAACAAAGTATAATTTTTCTTTTCTGAGATTGTTGTTCCCACCATTGAAAAGGGGAAGAGATTTTTTCTACTCGGGTGTTTTTTTATGTATAGCTGCGATCATTTGAAAAATGTGGAGGGTTTTGTATTAGTGTGTGTTTTAGTTTTTTTTCTTATTTTTTGTTTTCCAAGCAAAATCAGGCAATAATAATTTGAATGGCTTGAATGATATATCACACTAAGGCCTTTTTTTCTTGATTCGAACAAAATTTTAAAATAAGATATTGATTTTTCGTCTGATTTCGTGCGACCAAAGCGACCGATAACGCTTATTTTGTTTTTCAACCAAGAGAAGCAAAAAAAAAAACATCGGATTGGTAAGAGTGATATATCATATTGAAGTAATTTCAGTCGTAATCTGGATGAAATGGAAAACTTTCGAAAAAAAATTCTCAGTGTCAAGAAGAAACCAATTTGAAACTTCGCTTTTTGGTCTAATTTCAAGCTAACAAGGTGAGGATAAGCAGGCTCACAAAAGCTTTTTTCCATGCTGAATTTAAGCCGTAGAAATCCAATTTACTGAAGTAAATTTAGATGTTGGACATTCATAGCGTCAATTTGGGGATCAAAAATCCATAACTCTGCAAAAAACAAAAAAAACTCTTAGAGTTTTTTAACGATGTTTTTTGTTTTGTCTCGTCATTTTTTTTACAAAAATTGTTTTTCAATTGGCCAGTTTTACTATGAAAATTGAATATGCCAAAAATTTCTTTTGTTTTGAATCATTTTATCACACCACGTCAAAAAAGCGACACTGAATTGAATTTTTTTTCGTAGTATTTTAAGACTATGGTGCAAAGTAACCGGCTATACTTGTTTGTTTTTATTTTGTTTTCCACGCAGAATCAGGCAGCACAATGATCTGCCGCAGTGGGTTGACTTATATGTCATAGTAAATCCAATGCTGTCGTTTTCGATTCCTAATAAAATATTTCACTTTTTTTTAAGAAACCGTTTGACAATTTTTAAAATTTGGTCTAACTTTTAGCAAATTGAACAGCTCTGTTATACAAAAGTAAGACTTGAGAACTATTTCCCAGCATTATTGATTTTTTTGAAAATTTTCAGCGCTGTCACGAATTCAACAAAAAAGCAAAAAAGAATTTGAAAAGAAAATTGTTTGGTTTTTTGCAAAATTTTCCTTTTTTTTGGAACGATTTCTAAGACGGATTGAATCTCCGCTGACGTGTTAATAGCGCGAAATATATCGCGCGTTAATTGTCCCAAATTGGCGAAAATGGCAATATTTAAACCCCCATAACTTTAAGAAAAATGATCACAGGTGAAATATCTTTTCAAATTTAAGCTCAGGACAACAATAGCGTTTGATTAATATAATTAAGTTCCGTCAAAAATGGCTAATTAAAAAGTCCAAATTTGTCTGAAAAAAAAACCACCCCGAGCACAAATATTCCCTTACTTTCGTTACAAAAGTCGGAACAAAAAGAGTTTTTCTATTAATATCCAACTCCGTGATTCTTAATTTCAATACATGTAATGTTTTCAAAATTTGATAAGTATCTGCAGAAATTTGCAAATCAACTCAATTCAATGAAAAAATTATCCTCATCCTCTGTTGTTTAATGTTTTGTTGTAACAGACGTTGGTTATTAGTTAGTTGAGATCAAATTTTTAGGCTACTCTCAGAAAAGTCTCTAGAGAATTGGACCTATTGCCATTATAATTTGATGGATTTCCTGCTAGCCGAGGACTTAAAAAACCTAAATAACGGCCTAGAAGGTTTCCGCATTAGCATTCTTCATTAATTTCACAATTTTTCGTAAGTTATTTTTGAGCAAACGTATCAATGAGCTACGTGTAACTTTTAAAACAGCATCAAATATAATTGGAGGCTTTAATAAACTTGATACAATCTGTGATTCTGTTGCAAAAAGGTTATTCTGAATCATTG